AAGCAAACTCAAGTGGCTCGCGAAAGATCACGACTCGCACATCGAGACGCTCGTTGCTCAAGGTTAGATGCACGTAGACAGCTTCCAAGCCCTTGGACACACGGTCGCCGAACTAGAAGAACATCTACCAAGACTTTTTCCAGCGTTGCAGCCAACCCGCCGTTAGATCTGGCTGCTCGCGACCGCTCTCGTTCGATGCTTCTAGCTCATCCTGCCAGCCGATCATGACGTGCGCCCACCAGTGCCCCGCCATGGCTTGTCAAGTTCGGACCACGTGTCATCCTCGCGGCGACTATGGACGTCCGACTGACCGGCTTCCGACAGCGACCGCAAATTCACTGCTGTGTGCTTCCAGTGCAACACCTTGGCGTACCAGAGACCTTCTTCGAGCACCTGGGCTGAGCGGCCTCATTTGTACCTCTACGGCAGCCAGCTGACGTCCTTTCACGATACGGTGACTTCGTGTACCGGGTCGCGCTGAAAGCCGTCGCCGTCTGAGCCAGCTTGCACTTTCTCGGCCACGATGCTCGACACTGCCTTCTCTGCGATGCGCAAGCCCGTGAAACGTACGACCATCTTGTGGTGAGGTGCCCATACGTCCGAGCGATCTGGTGCGGCTTTGCACCGATACGGGGCATTTTGCAGATGCAACTCCCGTCGTCGGTCCCGGGCTTTCTCTACGACGACGTCACCGCGCCGTACTCGGCCCACAAGTCCTCCATTCGTGCCATATCTGGCCGATCCTACGCGCGTGCTTCTGGTATTGTCTTTGGCTCGAACGTAACAACCGTGTCTTCCACACGACGCTGAAGCAACTTCCCGCTGCCGCGCTCGACATCTGGGCAGCTACCCTATCGCACGATTGCACGTCCGGTACTTGGCTCGTCGCGCTGTGGTGCCATCTCTTGACGCGTCGCTGGCCGCTCTCCGCGACGACCCTTGGTGTGCACACTACCTGGTCCCTCGCACAATCTCGAATCACGACCACTGACGTTTCTCGCTGACGCATCGACCAAGCCTCACGACTCGTGAGCCCATTAAGAAGTCCACAATATCTTTTTAATTGCATGTAATATAACTCAGTCTAACAACTGTCGACTCGGCGAGTGGGGTCCACCGCGGGATGGATCTCTCCGTGTGCAGCTCACTCCCAACGACCAAGTGCTGGTGTCAACTCCCACGCATTCAGGCGTAGCACTACGTATGCGAAGTCTTTTTCATGAAGATAACGCGGAACACTTTAATTTTTAAACTAGGAGTGTCAGGAAATGCATCTTCATTGACGGTTACGCATGAGATACGAGGTGTTGGCTCTCAGAACTGTTGCCTTGGCTCGTGAGCGCTGAGCCAATGTCAATGTCGACCTCCTCGTCATTTTCTTCTTCGTCCAGATCGTTGAAGTCTTCATCCTGCAGCGCTGTGCCCTTGAATATGCTAGAACGCTATATGTAGTTTTTTACATCCCATTTTGATATCGACGTACCGAAGCCGCCGGTCAAACTCTGCATCACCGTCCGAGAGTGGGTTTGGATTGTCGAAGGTGCAATACCACGTTAGAGGAATTGAGAGGATGCAGAAGAAAGCAAACACCCCGAACGTTGAGCCAAGATCCTTGCCTAGATGTATCACCACGAGTTGTCCGACTAAGTTGATTGTGGGCAATACCTTGGGTCGCAAAGCCATAGGAGCCAATCGCAGCGCCTAGCTTACCCATGGCAGCGGAAAAACCGTGGCAGCGCGCTCGGATCGGCGTTGGGAACATTTCGGTCGGCATCACAAACGTCGATGTATTGGGCCCAAAGTTGGAAAAAAGAGCGAAAGTCCGTACAGGAGGATAAAGCTCTATCGCACATTCTCATGAGGTCACATCGTCCATCGATAAGTGCACGAAGTTCGCACCGTGCTGTCGTTCTGGAGGCTACTCCAGACGCCTGATAGAATCAGAAAGAGAAGCGTCATGAAGCAGAAGCCTTGCAGCTGCATCATGCGTCGACCGAGGCGGTTGATGAAGTAGACGGCCACGTAGTACCCTGGTAGTGCAACAAGTGCCACGAGCACGTTTTGTGTCGTCACTTGGGTCAGCGATGCATCGTGGATGCCGACGACGGTCAGGATTGAAGCGGAAAAGAGGTTTTGGGCATAAAACACAATGTCAAACAGGAACCACGTTCCGGCGGTGCCGAGAAGCCAGCGCCCGTACACCTATGTCGGCTTTGACATAACCACGAGAAAAAGAAATCATACCCGGAGGACAAAGAGAAGCGGGATAGCAGCGTTGTTGGTTGGTGCTGTCGTCTTGGACTGCGTAAACGCCACAGTCTCTTCGGCGTGGTACCGGAAAAAGAAGACGAGTGCCGACGGAATGACACCAATGCCAAAGAGAGATCGCCAAATGACCTCAAGGCTCTCGGGCGACGCCGATCCTTTCGGCCCCGGCGCGTGCACAGACACGAGTATGTTACCCATAATTGCGGCCGTGACACACCCGACGCCTTGGAGCGAAAATGTGAGCGCCACGCGCTGGTTGCGGCTCTCCACAGACGACGCGTCTTCGGCTGATGCAGCCGCCGCTAGCGGGTACTCACCTATCCACAGCGCATCGCATATAAACTAATGTACCAGTAGGAAAAAGTAGAAAGGAATACCGCCGATTCCGACCCCAAGAAAGCCACGTGCTACGACGAGAATCCAAAGCGTTGTAGTCGGCGACCCACCGCTGGCGAGCGCGCAGATAATGCCACCCAAGATTAAGATTGCGCACGTAATGATCATGCAAATGCGCCGGCCGAGCACGTCTGCAAGGTAGCCAAAAACGATTTGTCCGATGATGGCGCCGACTAACGCTGCAGCCGAGACCGCGCCTAGTGATTGCTGTGATGTTAGTGATTGCTCGGGTTGCTGGGCGAGTTGGTACCTTTAAGCGATGGAGTGTAAACGTCTTTTCCATATTGCTCCTCGAGTACGACGTTGACAACGTTCATGACGAAAAGGTCATAAGCGTCATTGAAGAAGCCCAGACCTCTAACGAGGAACGGCGGTAGATGCATCGGCCTGCTGTCGGGCTCGGTGTCGATTCGAATGTGGAAACCACCACACTATTGATAGAATTCCGGATAAACAGCGTCGGTCTTCCGGATACCACCCAGCCTACCGGTACCGTGCAAAAAGCAAGAGCCGCGAGAAGGTACCAAACAAACATCCGGATAAAGTCGCATGCATCGTGACAGCAACACGGATTTTACAGTGGCTTGGAGTTGATGTGGTTGCGTTTGAGATCTCATACCGTACAACGACCACAGATATAGTTTTGCGTCATCGAGAACATCATGAGGAACATCATTAGTAGCGAGATGCGTGCGGCCGTGATGCCGTTGGCCGTCACCAACATGGACCACATACTCGTCGCCGAACAGTCCAGAGCTGTGCAATGCATCGAGACGCCACGTCTTGTGCTTCCTTATCGCTATCGAACATCCAAGCTTTGCAAGCCGCTGGTGGCGCTCTCACAGCTACTACGTGCTCCAGAGCGCGCGATTGCGTGTTGCTGGCCTGAGATTTGATCGTCGTGGTGAGTCTGGCCGTACTTGCGGCTGCACAGCGTGTACCCCTCTGGATCCAGACTCGTCGCCGAGGCCATGCCTGTGTTACTGGCCATTAACTTCTGTGAGCGCCAGCGATAGGACCTCCGATGGCCGCGTGGCTCGTCGGCACGGTGGTGACAGCATCGCGTTCATCCACGATGGCAATTTGGCCGGTCGAATGAATCATTTATGGTACGCCATGGACGCACCGCGACTTGCCCATCACGTTTAACCAAGTGCATCATGCGTCGTTATGGTCTCACGGGTTCTCTTCAATAACCAAGCGTTCGTACGCCCTTCCTACTAGCATCTACTATTAAGAAATGCGCATCGTCCTCGTCGTTTTCGTCTCCATTTCCTTCCACAATACAACGAGAAAATTGTCATGGAGAGTGAGAGACCGGCTTGCGGCCGTTGATACATAGTGCTTCTCGGTAAAATAGTCGGCGACGCAGCTCTCCAAAGTGCGCCTGCCTTGTACAAATGGCACTTTGACCCCAGTGCTTTGACCCTACAAATATGCGTCGCCTTTTCGCTTTCAATAAAGGTCTCGTCGAGTTTGCACGCCTGATGCCGAGCAAAATTTGCTCGGCATCACACGTGGCATATGCCACATTTAAGCAAGGTCATGGTGGCATCATCTGCCGGAAAGATATCATAAAAATGGCCCAGCGAGGCCAACGCATGGTCAGCGACTCGGTCGAGTCGGACGATGTCACGCTTTCACCCGGAGACGACAAGGCGAAGCAGAAAGCGGGTGTACCTACATCCTCAGCGTCGTCGACAGCTAGCAACCCGTTGCCCCGGCGCGCGTCCTCTAAGCGGTGGTTCTCGGACTCGGACGAAGAGGCCCTTGGCTCAGTCAAAGGGTCGTTGCCACCATCGAGTGCCGAAGCTGATGCACCAGAAAAGGCAATGCGCGCCGGTTTGGTGACTGCCACACCGATGAAAGCGCCGCCGCCGCCAGCGCTCAGCATCAAGAACAACGACGCGACGGAGGAGCACCCAAAGCGTAAGATGTCGGGTATCCAAAAGCTCGTACAGAAAACCAAGATTCTGTCGCCGTTCCGCTCAAGCTCCAAGAAAATGATGGAAGGCGTGCCAGAGAAGGAGCCGCCGCCTCCGCCCGCTCCGTCCAGCATCCCTGCGACCCCTTCCAGTGCGGCGGTGATTCTTCCACGGCGCCAATCTCGCATGCCAACACCGAGTGACGAGGCTGTGGGGAGCCCGCGCAATGGTGGGCTAGCGGACGACGATGCAGACGATCCATTCAAAGGATCGAACGGGTGATGTGCCTCTTTTTCAGAGCCAGCATTTGCTCACCAAGATACGCTGCGTAGGTTGCTAAGCCCAGGACGAAGTCAGCTTGGCGGCGCGGCACCTGGACCTCCCGGCTCAAGCGTGCTTCTTGAAGGCTGGCTGCGGCAGAAACAGCGTCGCGTACTTATGCACAAATCGAAACTATGGATGGAACCTATCCATTCCTAGGGCATCCGCGGACTCAAGAAGTGGAACTCTCGGTACTTCGTCCTCCACGCCAAGGTGCACGAACTGCGCTACTACTCTGATGTGGTACAACCTGAACCATACTATCCTGCACTTGCAATACGTCTACTAGGTGCAATCGGGTTGGGGCCCCATCCCGCTTGGCGAAATCGGCTGCATTGCGCTGCGATCTATCCAACGTATTAGCAAGCCGAGCCATCCTAAGTACAAAGGTCAAACGCCCTGGCACATACAATACAAAGACGGGACTCATTCACATGCGTAGGCTGTCGATTTGATATCACCTGCCGAAGCATGCTGGGTATTCCTGACCCCGAGGACGACGCATCGTCGGACGACGGAGCGAAAAAGACGTCGCCGCAACGGCAGCAACAAGCGCAGCAACAACCATCAACCCCAGTGATCAAGACGACACCAAAGGCTTCGCGGATCTACAGCCTCGTAGCTGACTCACCCCAAGTATTCCATAATTTTTTCTTCTTCCCACTACGTGCGATAACTGCGTAGACAACTGTGCTTTGGGTGAACATGATCGACTCGCTGCTTACGCGCAGCGTCAATAGCCCACGTCCCGATATGTCGCAGGCCAAGGCCCCCCAGCGTTCGTTTCGTTTACTCGTACTCTCATAGCTGATTCACATGCTAAATGGTAGCACTCAAGGCCCTTGCCCAGCTCAACCAATCGCGCCAGAAGGCGGTACCCGAGAGTGTCTCCAGTCGGCCACCCAATGATATGCTCGTCCTTTCATTTCCTGATGACATTGTGCCCAAGCCCATCGTGCATGCTATCGACTACATCTTTGAGTCTTCTCCTGGTATCGAAACCGAGCTCTTCTACGAGAAGGAGGCTGCGCTGGGCCAACTCAAGGTCTACTGGACTTGCTCAGGAACTTACTCATTGTCACTCTAGATAGTACTGAATCGCCTCAACCAATGCTCTGCAGAGCGACGCAAGCCTACGCGCAACGAGTGGGAGGACGTATTCGACGTAGTGAGTGCGGCAGGTACATCACAGTGTTTGGTTAGGTGTGTTTAACGGAGGAGTAACGTTAGGCGTCGTAAAGCTCTGGTTACAGCAGCTCGAAGGACCGATCATTCCGCACGAGATGTTTCCCGAGTTCCAACGCGTCATGGACGAAGGCATCGTCGCACCCTTTGAACTGATGCGCAACCTCAAGTCCCTCTTGGCGACGCTCCCCCGCAAGCCCTTGTACGACTACACTCTACTCTCCTATGCGTTTGGTTTGTTCGTGGCACTAAGGCGTTTGTGAATGCGTAGCAAGCAGATTGCATTCCTTATCTTCCACTGGAATGACGTGACCGTGTATGCGTCCAAGAACAAGCTTACAGCAGCGGTGCTTGCAGCACGCTTCAGCGATTTCGTGCTGCGACCTCGCCCTGGTGCAGCGGCTGAGTCTGAGACTGCCACGCGCCTTGTTGAGTACATGATCACGCATGCCGATGCACTCATTGACGAAAAGGAGTCCGAAATCCTGGACATGTAGACAGGTATTTGCACTTTGCGTGCTAAAACAGCGACTGTTTTGTGTTCAATGTCGAGCACTTTATACAAAACAATATCATGTATCATGAGCCTCGTCCAACTCAACGACGGAGCTGAGCATTCCGATGCATAGACGGTGAGACTGTCGGCGTGATCCAGACAGGGCTATAGTGTGCACTGCACACTATAACCATACTCTCCAGACAACATCCATCCAAGGAGCACTGGTATTACTACGTAGTAGTTTTTGGGATCAGACCATGGGCTGCAACCATGCACGGGCCATGTCTGCTACCGGTACCGGTACAACTGTACGGTATCAGGGTGTCGTCCAGGGATAATCTTTATTGCTTGGGACGGCTGTGACTTGACGTGTGCCGTCAGACGCAGGCATACACTACTGGTAGTATTAGTACCAAGGTACACACAAGGCGTCCAATCCGCTGCAGTGCAAGTCAGTACAAACTGCAGTACCGGTACAGCTACAGTACAGGGTATCAGTCCGATGGTTCGAGGCTCGCGACAAAAGTACTTCCAGTTCCGTTGATGTCGCAACTGGAGGCATCTCCAATGCGCACAACGGGCACGTCATTCAACTCGAATCTGAGCCTGTACAAGCACTACAAGTAGTACACGCTTTTGCAAGCAGTGCGCTGCCACAACCGTATTATCGGTTTACTAGCAATAATACTACCGGCACCGGTACGTAGCTGCTCCCTTGGCGCCAAGGGTCAGTCCGTCCGCCGCACGGTTCCAACGAGCAGGACGGCGGGGGGACCGACGAAATCAGGTTTGATCATCACAACTTCGATTTCATACATAACTCAAGTGCAAAAGTGGGTGCGGAAATCGTTGGCCCCGTCTTCGAGCTGGCAATAAATTATATATAAAATGCTGTGTTCTGCCTAAAACTTCGATTTTGCACTGAATCATCTCAATGGCGCACCAATGCTGGCGACCCAAGCGCGCCGGCGTCAGGAGAACATGGCGGGACTCGAGGTCGAGTTAGCGTTGCTCCACACAAACTTGTTGTTTACTTCTATGAGCAGCGTTAGAGCCAAAAGCCAGCCCAGCTCATTGTCGGTACTAATAGTATGGGATACACCGACCAAGATGACACAAGAAATACCCACGATCGAGGCTTGGAAAGGAAACGTTTCTCATTATCGTCCCGCATGAGGCGGCCGATCGTATCCGGCGCAAGGATGCCGTCAGTAGCGTAAACATACGCAGCCACGTCAATCGTTCGGCTTCTCCAAAAACGATGCGAGCTCGAGGACATCCTGCTGCACCCATTTTTAAATACCATTCGTCAGGCATCAGCGCGCTGTTTTAAGATGCCAACGATGCCAATGCATCGTATAGCTGCACTCGCGTCGCATGCTTGCCGAGTTTCGCTTTCGTCTTTACCACAGTGGTGTCGCAGGCGTTTCCGGGGGTGGACACTACTGGGAAAACGATGGGGGTCTGGGCTGGTCCTGGGAGGTAGCGATCCGGATACACTGGCCGATCTTGAGATTTGTATACTCTCGCCGGTGGCACCAGCGTGAGTAGCGGCGCCAGCTGCCGGGTCGCCCCAGTTCCAAATTCGTTCCTGGGCCATCGCGATGGAGCCGCTCGACACGACGATGAGCGTGAACAGGACGATCGGGATCAACTCATCTACGCATCGGATGATGTCCTTTGACGAAGCCACGGTCATTCGGCGCTGCTATCAGCGCAACAACCGGAAGGGCGGCCAGAAGAACTTGCGCTGTTTCCCGAACTGCTGCCAGGGTGTCCACGCAAGCACTGGCTACTGCGGCGGGCCCATCGTTGTGCACTTGACGCACCCGGTCTTGAAGAAGGGCGCCGACTACATGCTCTTTGCCGAGTTCTGCCCCGTCGTGAACGGCGTGCCCGACGGCTCGTTGCACGAAGGCGACGTGTGGCCTGTCGAGAAGGCCCTTTCGCTCGCCCACAAGGAGAAGAACCCGCTTCTACCCCTCTTCCAGGGCTCGCCGATGGACGGCGCGCCGCACGCGTATTGCTTCAACGCGTCCAAAAAGGGGTGGCACTACGGCTTTGTGAGCAACAAGCACGTCTCGGAGATGCACCACGTGCTCATGGTCTACCTCCTCGAGCGCCGACCAGACACGGCGCTCCACTGCATCGACACCCTCGTCTCGGTCTCGTTTTCTATTTATTGCCGTCGTCGCGCCAAGACGTCGCGTCTCGGCGAGCTGCTGTCGGCCGACCCGACGCCGCTCGTGCCCGCCGACGAGCGCAAGCGCAAGGACGCAGCGATCGACGCGCCCAAGGTTCGGCCTCCTTCCCGGAGTAGCGACACAGACTGGATGATCTTGAATGAGCTTCTCTCGGAGACGGCGCCGCAAGACAAGGACCCACCGTCGTCACCCGAGACCACGTCGAGCCAAGAAGACGAAGATCTCCAAGTCATCAAGCGCATCAAGCTGCCGCCGCCGTCGTCTTCCGTCGTAAAAGAAGAGGTGACATCGCCAAGCACGTCGCCAGCAGATACAGCAGAGTTTGTCGCGCCGCCGGGCTTTTACTCGGTCGCGCAGGTCAAGGCCGCGCTCGGCATTGCTGACGTGTTCAAGTTCCCGCCCAAGAACCTTCGCGCAGTAGACGTCGTCGCCAAAGCGCCCTCGGCAATGTCCACGACGTCATCGACAGCAACCTCGACGGCGACGTCGACAGCCGCGTCGACAAGGTCGTCCGCCAAGGCATCGGTGACGTTCCCGTCGCCCATGCGATCGTACGACCCGCAGCGTGAGTTTACGCAGTCGGCGCCGCATCTGTCGCGACAAACGCACCGGCGCGTGCGTGGCCACGATATGCACGAGGCACTGTCGCAGTCGACGCCGACGGCGCCCCACCAGCTGCACCGCCCAGTGTCTTCGCCGTTGCGGCACCGAAGCCAGAGTGCACTACACGCCAACAGCTACGCGGGCCCGTTTTTCGCCAACCCCGCGCAGCAGCTCATGTTCCAGCAGCAGCAACAACACAGCTTCATGTACCCGCAGGCGTATCCTGGCGGGTTTAGCCACCCTGGCATGATGACAATGCCTCACCCGTCGACGATGGGGTACCCACAGATGTACGAGCCGATGGGGTACGGGTTCCAGTCGCCGGCGTTCACACGCATGAACTCGACGCCAATGTCAACGCCGTCGTCGAGCGCATCGCCGTACCAAAGCCCACAGCCTTACACGACAAGCAGCGGGACGCCGTCTCCAGTGTATACAACTCCGCCAAACCCGTCGTTCGCCTTCCCAACGCCCGACCCTTCGGCGCCGTCCATGACGATCTTGGAGGAGCTCCTTCTCGAAGACGACTCGGTGCAAATGGCTGTACCGTACCCGTCGCGCGACGTCACGCAAGCGTATTACCAGCGCCAGGACACGGTGGCTGCGGGTGTTGCCACCGTCACACCGTGCCTGCCCCTCGACTTGAAGCCATCGTCTGCACCGGCACCGATCGAGCGCCGGGCGACAGATCACCGCTCTCGAGACACAGTTATCCCGACCGAAATCGTCGTCACTCCCCGTGGCCGTACCGCTCGCGTGCATCTTGGCAGAGGCCACAGCAGCAATGACAACCACACGATGTCGCCGGTCGCGGCGCCCACGACGAGCCGTCGGCGGTCTACATCGGCGTCGTCCTCATCGCCTCACCACCTCTCGATCAACATGGACGAGCTCATGTCGTCGCGGTCCATCTACCTGCGCATGGGTTCACCATCGCAGCCATCGTTTGTGCGGCTCGTTGCATCCAAGTCAAAAAAGCGCAACAAGCACCGACGCCGACGACGCGACTCGGACAACGACGACGACGAGAGCACCGAGGCAGCACCGGCGGTCGCACCGGCCAACAAGCCGCCCAGCCTTGTCGCACTCGTCAGTGGCAACTGCAACTTGATTTTGAAGGCGCTGGCGTTTGTGACACTTTGCGTCGTGCTGGTGTACTACTCGACGCACGTCGCTGCAGGGATGAAGCCCGAGGAACCGACCCAGACGACGTCCGCGGAGATGCACGCAATAGCGAATACCACTGACATCAAGCTCGGACGGCGTGCGCTCTCGTTAACTTAAGGCATCACTAGTATTTCCACGCACAATATAGGGTTTGAATCACAATCTATTTGCTCCGTCCAAGAAGCGATTCGGATCGACAGGGGAGCAGCCGCGCTGACAGGTCACAACGGTCTCCTGTTGGCCGATAGTCGACCACTTTCTTGCCAAAAGCGATGATATTGGTGCATAGCGAGAAAGTGCAAACTCGAGCGTCAGGCACCTTTCAATAAAACAATAAATACTGAAGTACATTACTTTGCGCCAAATCTTCGATCGATGTGGCGCCGACGGCGGAAGAAAATGGACGGTCATCACGCCACCACCCAGCCCGGGTTGCTCGTGCGACTCGAGGCCGACGTGTGGCTTCCGCTGCGGTCTTTTCGACCAAGCCGGTGGGCTTTCCAGGACCGCATCGAGCCGAGAACGAGGGTAGCGAGGGCGGCTTCGTGCTTGCTGTGGCCCAAGGCCGGGTTGACGTAGATGCCTGGCGCGATGTTGCCCCGCGAGTCGGTCTCTGGGCACACGCTCAGGTGAAAGAGAAAGGCTTTGAGCGCGTCCGGCGTCTCAAACTTGACGCAGAGCCTGTCGTCTTCCGGAAGCTCGATCAGTGCCTTCAGATTGGTGTGCCATTGAACACGAACAATCGTGTCGAGTGGGTAGTGGGCATTAGTGTTGAGGACGACAAGGACGCCGACGTCGGGGTGAACCTCGAGAGCGATAAAAGACCGGCGCCATCCGACCTTGTCGAGGACGCTCGAGTACTTGCGCGTGTAGTACACGACCATGGCAATGCGAAAATGACTCGTTGTGTAGCATACGGGAGGGTACGCCACTCAAGGACGAGAGTATCTTTTCACCAAATATTGCAATGCGTCCGGATATCGACTTGTGCACGGTCAATACAAAGATATTCTATTGACCCTTGGTACTGGTCCGCTAATACCAGTCGATGACCATCCACGCGGAACAAACACAGTCTGAGCCGTCCGAGTGCTAGAGTTGCGACTCGCGGCGTTGGGAACAAGCAGAGCCTTCGCATCTTGGTGAACCCGCCACTTACCTCACAGGTACCTCAGCCGCCCAGGAAGGCGGTGGTCAGTCGCTGGCCAGCGCGAGGGCCAGCAAGATTACACTTACAGTGTATCTGTGGGGCAGTTCTGTCGGGCATGCAAACAAGCGTCCGTGATGTCCGTATCGGTACCTGCCGTCCGTGCGGTGTATATCGCCCATCTCCTATCCATTTCATCGGCACAAAGAAGATACTACATCAACTGCTTGGCAATTGCTTAGCTGGTCAAAATTTGCCGCCCTCTGACCTTGAAGGTACAAGCGCAAGCGTTGCTTGTGATTTGCCGTCATCTTGGGCGTCAAGTCCCAGGCATGTGTTGCCATGACAATGTCGTTGTCACCCTCGGTCTCTAAGGTATCTCTTGGATTCCTCTCGAACGGTGGAAGCCGATCCTCATTCTTGGCGCGTGGCACGTTGCACAGCTCGTCCTTGAGCGCGACCATCTATTACACGCGGCGCGTGAGCTTGCAGCCGACGGCGTACGGCCGGTGACCGTGGTGTGGAGTTGTGTGCATGCTGCCTGCGATGGATGGTCGAGATAAACAAGGCTGCAAGGTACGAAAGGCTACGCTACCTCTAGCACAGAGTGCTGTGCATGGATCGGTGCTAACTAGTAGCAGATACAGGAGCGTATGAGCTCGGTCATTCGAAGGAACATACTTGCTGTGTAAGCTGGTCGACGCGGGGTGCATGCGCCTCGGCGATCAGAGATCGCCGCGTCGCATTCAAGTCGCCTACCAATCCGAAACGATGAGCGTTCTGATATCGCTGCTGGCGAGGATTACGCTGAAGGTACTGAGCATGCTGCTTCATTTTGGTGAGCTGCTTGGACAAGGCAACACGCGCATCTCGCTCTCTTTGGAAATGGTGCGCGGCTTCGTCTCGCTACTCGTGTTCGAAGTTAGTCGCTCTTTGGCTCATCCGCGGCTCACGGACCTCGGACTTGGTGTGTTCGAGCTCTTGCTGAAGGAGTTGTGTCTACTATACTATCAGCAAGAGTGAATATAGCATTTGAATCGTTGTTGCCACCTTGGCCCGCTCGGCAGCCACCTCCTGCACCAAACATGAGCATTTTTTGTTGACAAGAGCGAGCTGGGCGCTTATCGCAGCGAGCGCAGTCGTCGGTCGCTCCACGTACCTAGAGATACTTCGATGATTTCACCCTTCTTTAATAATAGTACATGTATGCATCAAAGAAGCTTCGTACGTACGCAGCGACGAGATGCTCCAGCTGCGCAGCCTCTTGGGTCAAGTTGAATGACGGGCGATCGTCGCAAAGAAACAGCTTTGAGTCGCATGCTGCCGGCGGCGAAAGCAACTGGAGAAGCCACTGCACAAAGAGGCTGTTTGCCTCGTGCTTAGCGATATCCGCTCGCGCAGAGACGAGCGAACGCTCCAGTTCTGCCACCTTGGTGCGAAGCTCAGCTTGCTCGACGTCAAGAGCTGCAATCCCAGCGACTACCGGTATAGGAACGTTAGACGACGTGGACGGCAATGTCGTTGCGGCGGAGTGTTGGACAATTGGGGTAAGCATACAAGGTGAGGATAGAGCTGCGACAGACGATGCAGTCGCTGACGGCGCCGTTACCGTTGGCTGTGGTGCCTTGGCCGTTGCGTAGGCTTCTCCAGGCGGCGAGACCACAAATGGTGGTGTACCCTCTGCACCTGAAGGCAAGTCCTTGCGCTTTGTGCGTACGAGACTCTTGGATCGAGACGTTTGCGGACGCTCGGACTTGACAGGCTCGCGCTCAAGGTTACGGCGCAGCCGTTCAAACTTGTCATGGAGGTCGCGCAGCTCGTGGCACGTATGGATCGGTGCATGATGTTGCGCGCTCGGCTTCGTCTGTCGCGACCTGGAAGGCGTGGGGTTACGCACTGGATCGTCGGAGTCGTCCCAGGGTGGCAGCGCCCACGTCCGTCCAGCGTTCATGCTGAGAATTACGGTACCGTGATTGGTTGAAGATTGGATTCCGCTTCGGAGAATGATGGTAAGATCGAATGGGATTTGACACCCCATCTTACGGACATGGTGGGTCGACGAGGCACACGACCAGATGCTCGCATACGCCATAACAACACGTGCACCTCTTTAAGCATTTGGTGTACGGCGGGACATCCCGGAGCCCCCTCACTCGCGCGGCTGCTACTTGTACTATTATTGTACCAAGACGAAATACATACCGTGTCGTTCGCAAATCTGCCTGACGCCCCATTCAAAGTCGGAGGAGCTCCTCCGACGAGCCAAGGACGACACGCGTGTCATTTTGCGGCAATCAGTCAACTTCCCCAAATATGGCAGCTCTGCAGGAAATCGCCTACATCAGAAGCTCTCAAGTCGCTCATCGTTGGTGGCCATTAGACCCGAGGTGCCGCAGTTGTATGTTAGCAAGGGAAGCACTGACCCGTCAGACCAGCGTCATTGCTGCGAATGCAACTGCTCCGAGTATCAAGATGTATGATAGTGATTGACACGGCATCAAAAAGATTACCGAGCGTCTCGGAGTAATGCTCGTCTCGGAGTGTGTACACATGAGAAACTTGTACGCGAAGGGCTGCTGCACGACTCTTGTACACGCTAGTTTAGACCGTCGTGAGGAGCACGTCCGCGTGGTGGTTGATGTGGTCTTCCATGAACGACGAAACGAAGTAGTAGCCGTGGTCATAGCCGTCCTAGAAGACCCGACCATCAACAAAAGTTGGACGGCAAGTTGAGCAACCTGCATGCGCAACGTCAACGGCTGACCGACCTTCTGGCATGCCGCCTACGCCCAAATTTGTTCGTGTTTGCCCTACCAAGCGTCGCGTACCTCGAAGGCTTCCGGCAGCAGTTGCTTGTCTGCG